GAAATAATTATACAAAAAGTGATAAAGTTTAAAAAAATAAAGAAACAGTAAAAAAAATTTAAACTAACCCCGCCGCCATTCTCCATTGTGGGGAGAGGGGGTGGTCGTATTGCGGAACCTGGCCTTGGGGCGGCAGGGAGAGTTAAATCCGGCCCTGCTTGTCAGGCTGCTAGATTGGTCCCCACAGCCTTTTCTCCCCCAAGCTCCAGCGCCCTAAGGGCCACTGACATCATAACTCCCAATGCAGGTCCCTTCCCTTGCATTAGACGTGTGGACGGCAAGAGACATTACACAGCCAGAGTGGAGGGGGGAGAGGTGAGTGCTGACCACCACGGGACCAAGGATCAGGTGAATATATCTGTTTTATTTGAGCCCCATAGACAAAATGAGCACTTAACCCTTAAGGGTTTTTTTTTTAAATTCACTTCTTCTGTAAAGCACATAGAAAACACCATCGGTATCCTAGATCGCAAGTTATCTAAACGCATTATTTTATTTGCAAGTTAACATCAAAACTATGGTATAACACATCAATACAATCATGATTGCACCTTCATTTTCCACAAGGCTTCCAGCTAACCGAGTCATTCATCTGCTATTATATTTCCCAGTGATCATGCAGGATAATGATTGAATGGATGTTTGAAACCAAAAAGTCCATTGCAACTCCAGTCCTGCAGTTTCCACATCTGTTCTTCTTTTATTCACATCCCACACCTAATTGATTGGATGCCACCATGTGATTGTAACGTTACCCCAAAGCTTATTCTCACTCGTTATACACCGCAGTCATGCTGTATTTTTATCTGCCAAAGTATATCCTGCGTCCATTAATGTTAGCAAAGTAATCCCATAGGGGATGCAGCAGCCGTAACTCCAGAAAGCACCTGCCAAGTACAAGAACCCCATATCCAACACTTGCACACGTATCTTGTGTACAAGGCCATTCCTCTAGAATGCAAGTGGGGTGAGTTGTTCATCTTTAAAGGAGAACTATGGGGTCAGTGTTTTTCCCCATAGTTCTCCTTAGGGTAACGGGAGGACACAAACTAGCGTCCTCCCGTTACCCTAAGCTCAGTATACCGCGAGCTGTAGCTGTATACAGAGACGCCGCAGCCGGAGCGGATCCCGACTTAGATGACGGGATCCGCCCAGCTGCGTGAGTGACAGCTGGCTCTGCCTATCTAGAGGCAGAGCCAGCTGTACCCGCCCCGTCCGTTCCGCCAGTCAGCGCTGGCAGATCGGAGAGGGGAATCCAGCCCCTCCCCCTGTCACGGCAGAGAGCCGTGACAGGATAGAGAGGTGAGTGAACCTGGTATGTGTTCGCTCACCTCCTGATCTACTGAGCCGACCTGTGACAGTCTCATTGTCACAGGTTGGCTAGAACTATGACGTGAGTGGAAATCACTCATCTCATAGTTCTCCTTTTAATCCTCACTGTACTGTGCTGACTGATCTCATTATTAGTTGTAAACCTAGATTTGAATAAGGTCTGTCCCAATAAAGTTATAGATCCACAAGCATTGTATGTTAATGAGAGGAAGATCAGAGTGTCCCTAGTCTTTCTATGTGGACATACAGCATTTCCTGTCACTTTGAAGTTGTACAGTGAAGCTCCAAAGGCCAGCTACACAGACACATAGAATATATTTTTTCGATATGCTGAGTGAATAGGAACACATAACAAACCTATAGAGGGGGATTCTCAAATTTGTCTGCATAAGAGGTAAAACACAAAAAAATTTACCCAACATTTTAGATGTGCTGGATAGCTTTGTTTCCCTATCTAATACCTTTTATCTCTAAAGGTAAAACAGATCAAGAATTCCTCTGGCTAGTAGAGTGTAATAAACCCACATTAGTTTAATAGTCGCATCAGGGGAACAAAAACGCATGTACAATTCAAATTGTAGACTTGTGTCTCCCACCAGTATGTTGTTACAAACTAGTTTGCCCATTAAAGCTACATTAGCAAAAATGCAATCATGTTAATCATGTTAATCTTCCAAAGTTTTAGAATCTTGCAGCGTCTTCATTCTCCATGCAGAAGGCTTTTATACACATCATGGCTTAAGTCCCTGAAGAGTAAAAGAAATCTGTCAGAAAAAAAGCACGTGATTAGCTTGTGATGGAAGCAGCCATGCGCTGCGTGTTTTTTTTTTAAGACAGGAAAGCAAAACTTTTTAAACAAAGTCATGTTTCCAAGCCAGCATGTAGCATGCGTGAGGAAACCGTTTCTTTCATGAGAGCGTAATCACAAATAATGCTTTACCTCATGACCAAGTCTCTTCCAGCCTTAGGCCTTGTTCACACCAAATGCAGTGCGTTCCGGCCCGATTCTGGCCAGAACGCACTGCCTCGCATTGTGGCCGGCTCCCTTTTTTATGGGTAAGAGGGGGCGTGGCCGTCCTTTGAAGTGAATGCCACCGTAGCCACGCCCTTCGGCCACACAGGATCGCAAGGCACATTATGCCTGCTGTCTGGTTCGATTCGGTCCAATCAAAATAGATTCCAGCCGCGATTCCACCCATGCAATGGAACACGATCGCAGCTAAAAAAAAAGTTCCATGTCGCAAAAAAGGTACCTGTACCTTTTTTTCAGCGATTCCCGCGCGGATGTAACTCCATTAAAATCAATGGGGCCATGCGGCAACCGCTGTGTGCCAATGCACACGATCGCGCGGTCCCGGGAAGTGCGTTCCGGATCGCCCAGGTCTGCACCAGCCGTAAGAAAGGTGCTATGAGGAGGTCAATCACATTAATTGAAGTGGACCTGCTATTAAAACTCAAAAGAGTCGATTCACCCCAAACACTAGACAAGGCAATTTGCCTTTTCATGGATGGGCCCATGCAGTACTTTTTTTTCTCAGAGAAGCAGGCTGTGATGTGGTACAACCATATGGCACCACGCTGTGCCCATAGAACTGAATGAAATGTCACTTGTGACATTTCAAAAAGGTTCACAAAAAAATACTAAAAGGAAACAGTGCGAAGGGCCGGGATCGGCGCATCGGCAATGTGATTGGTAACGCACACCAGCAACTGTGTTTTGTAACGCAGCTGCTGGTGTGAATGCAGCCTAAAATTTAATCTTCACATGAATCAAGAGAGCTTATGTCCGCATTACACAATCCCTTATTTAGAGCAAAAAAACAACCTTTTTCTTGCCATGATTAAACCTTTCCCCTTTTGTGTGATACATTGGTTTTTGGTTAAATTAAACTGACATGGTAGTTTTGGACACAACTGTATTGGTGTAACACCAAAAAATCTATTTAATCACACTCCTAAACACTAGCCACAAGCTATTCCATATGTATGGTACATTTCCTTTAAGCACCTGCAGCATATTTGGGCACAGACCTTCATCTATTTATCCATCTTTATACTTAAAGTTAAAGCTGAAATCTGAGTTAGCCTAAAAATTACCCTCACAGTGCCCCTTCCCTCCCAAGGGTCAAATGCTTGTTTTGTCTAGGGGGTGATAATAATTTAAAAAAAGCAGTAATATTTAGCACGTTCCTTGCATCCGGCACTCTCCTGGGGTGTGAGCAGGCCCTCTGTGTCCTCATGTGCATTGTAGGACTGCTGGTCCTGCATTGTACATGATGACATCGGAGAGCTACAACTTCAGGAGACCAGTCTTATAAAGAGGAGAAAGCCTGGTCTTTAACTGTAAGCACCCAGGATGCTCAATCATCACTTATCCTAGCACTTGAAGCAACCCTTGCTTATCCAGCGAGTGGTGAGTTAAAGATGTCTCACCTTGTATTATTTTTCTCAGTCACTCCCACAGTGTATGTTGCTGTTTTAGGCCTCATTCACATGGGCGATGAGAGGGTGGTAAAACCATGCAGATGGTGTGTGGTTTTAACATTCTCCAGGAGCCCAATGCAATTGTAGCGCTGTACTGCATAGTGCTGTATACATTATTATGGCATACTTTGCATTTGCCACATTGCAAAAAATATGCGGCATGCCGTTTTTGACAGGTGGTGCAGCTTGAACTGAAT